TGAATATTTTCCTTTCTGGCAGTTGAAGTGTGAGAGCAGTAATGATCCTGAACAGTTTCGGACTGGTGCATTCTTTGAATAGTCATGTGTTATGATAAAGCTTCAGTTTAAGTTAGTGCTAGCCTCTAAAAATCTATCTCATGGATCACGAAAAATTTATTTGGGATTATAGCCTTTGTGCTGTTAATAAAATAAGTTTTGATAATTTATGATTTTATTTTGACAAAAGAGATCTATATAACTCTGAGTTGTCAGAATTAGTGTTTTTGTCTCTTTCGTTGCAAGATTCGAAAGAACCTTTATTGCCCTTTCGTTGCCACACGGTTAATAGGAAATTATTCTGTGTTCTATGTTTGTCCTCAAATCCAATGTCTAATTGACGCTGGTTTCTGAATTGAAGTAATGTGAAGTCCGACTAAATCAATAAAATGGCATGTTACCAGGTACATCAAGTCTAATTAACTAATGATTTTAAAAAAAGTCACATCAAGTCTAATTAACTAATAATTCAAAAAAGTCTAATTAACTAATCCCTTTATTACAAAAGGTAAACTATAAATGGATATGGATCATTCATGTCGCTGTTTTCGTAAACGTTTGATAGTTTTTTCTCCTTTGCAATGTGTTTGATAGTTTTTTTTTCTTCCGTTGCACGCACGGGCATATTTGCTAGTCTTTATTAATATAATCAGTAACTCTCTTGCTTGGTTCATTAAAAATATAATGCTAGGGGAAGGTCCATAGCCGTCTGGTGGGTTTAGAGCATGTACAACTCACAGACGTGAGGTCGTCTACAAGAGCCTCAAATCTAATGTACAAACAACTAGAAAGACAGATCGTACAACCCACAGACAACCCACAAACATGGATCATTTGCAAACTATTTAATGCTTTGAGCCAAGATCATTCATGAATATCATTTTGTATACCATTGTGTTGCTATTGATAGATTAATGGATCACAACTACGTTGAATTTACAATAACATTTACACAGCAACCGTCAGCCTTTTTAGAACTGAAACAACACTATTTTCTGAACTGAAACATGGAAGCAGCTATTTCATACTAGTCACATCTTACACACTGATATTCAGTTTTCAGCTTTGATAGCAAGAGCAGATGACCAATAAGTAGAAAACAGAGTCACTAGCTAATCAGGTTTATGCATGAATCATTGTTTGTTTATGCATGAATCTTAAAACTCTGCAAAGCATCTTCAGCTAGTCTTGACATACAACAAGATAACACCTATTTCAGTTGCAGAGTTCCATACAACAGTGAGGCCACTAACGGCACTGATTATGAATGCAGAAACAAAAAAAAAAAAAAAAGAATTGCAGTTCTCATCTGAATCTAACCTATGCCATCCCGAAGACAGAAGACTATGCCATCTTGAAAATAAAAATTGGACCTATGCAGCTTTTCTTATTCTGTTTACTAGTCATCTGTCAGAATCAAACAGCTATCCTTTCATGGAAGCACAAAATTTCAGTTAACTGAATAGTGTTAGCAACCATTGATGCTTTCATTCTGCAGTCCTTTCTTGTAGTGACCATTGGTGCTTGCATATGAAGGAAGCTCCAGTACACAGATTTCCCTTCATATAAAGAAAGCAAAAACAGGACCTACCAAAAAAGGACCAGAAAGTATGTCAAAATATTTAGCACTGTAAATAAAAACAGATAGCCATAAATTGCTTAAATTGCTACATTGCTGAACAATCGCAATGTGCGGCTATTTCAGTTTGCAGAGTTCCATGCACATAATCATGCACTTTTCACACTATCATGTAAGTTCTCTGTTCACACATAATCATGCACTCTTCATAGTATTCGTTTTTTAGCAGGCACTTTTCATACTATTCTACCATCGAGGGGGCAGTACACGGCCATTTCCATTCTTCAAACAATTTCCACTCGTACACCAAGTTCAGAATTTGCACAGAAAACAACCAACTATCAATCTATTCATACTAAAATAGACTACTCAAGTAGTTCAGTACATCACCTTGCCAATTGGTCTTGCAGATATCAAGTTGTTTGAACGCTGAAGTAGACAGGAGATGAGGAGAGGAGAGGACAAAGGAGTACTGTAACAGCAGATATCTGAAGGCCGCGGCGGCTATCCGGCACATCGAGGCGCGGCAGCCCCGCGGCAGGGATTCGGCGGAGGCGGGGAGGCGGAAAGCTCCATACATCATCATGATAAACAAAATTACTGAACCTGCTAACAAAAAATAACATCATTTGATAGCTAATTTAAACAGATAAATCAAATCCACAACATCCTCCAGTTTTCAGATAGCACTGACTGGTACACCAATTTAAACACAGAGACTAAAATAGCACTGATAACTACAAAGGCACACCTACAGTTCAATAATCCACCATCTTCGCTTTGCATGCTTCATGGTGGTGCACCATTCATAAAGCAAATGTTTTGAAGAACTCTAATATCTACTGCTGTCAGTCTATCATTTAGTGATATATGACCAAAACTCACCTATTGTACTGACTGACAACAAATTCTAACTTAAATCAGTAAAGTTTTGAAGAACTCTAATATCTCAGAACCTGAAACTCTTAGTTTCAGCAAAGTGAAGGCTGGCATCTACAGCAGTTGATGCCCATATAGAGGAGGAATCATCAGAACGAGAGGTGGAGATGAATCAAACGGCCAGATCCACAAATAGAGGAATCATCCGCCCAAGCAGTGCCAAAGGCACCCAACAGTTCAACAACCACCATGGAAGAAGCTTCATGGCGCAGAGCATTCATAAAGCAAATGTTTTGAAGAACTCCGACTACTGGTCAGTCTGTATTTGACTGCACTCATCATCGACGTCTGAGAACTTCTACGATGACGTTTTGAGATACGAGTCTTGGTGCTCGGTACGTGCTGGTGTATGCAGTTGATGCCGAGAGGCGAGACTCATCAGCGAGAGGTGGAGATGAATCAAACGGCCAGATCGCGACGAGTTCAGATCGACTGATGCAACCAACCAGCAGACGCCGAACCCGTGGCTCCGACCGGGCTGTATTTGCTGCCTCCATCGACGTCGGAGAGCTCTACGATGACGAGATACGAGTCTTGGTGCTCGGTACGTGCTGGTGTATGTGCCGAGAGGCGAGACTCCGCGAGAGAGCTCGAGCCAGACGCGACGGTTCAGATCGACTGATGGAACCAGCAGACAGCGGAGCTTATAGCCTTATATAAAAACGAAACGGCCCGGCGCTTCGCCAGCTTCAGGCCCACTTGGGCAGCCCACGCGGTGAGGCCCATCGAGTCAACCTCAGCCATCGAGCGAGCCCTTCCACGCATAAATCGAGAAGTGGTCCAATTTTTTTTAGGTTTGCAGTCTAGTCCAAATTACAGTCTGGTCCCTAGTTTCTTACCCATCTTCTCAGTTTGCAGTATGCCAGTATGGTCCCTGGTCTCTTGCCCATCTTTTCGATGTTTTTTTTTTATATTTTACAATCTAGTCACTAGTTTCTTACCCATCTTTTTTAATTCTTATACCATGGCACGCACAGATTGAGAATGATCCAAAAAATTTTAGGTTTTGCAGTGTAGTCCATTTTTTTAGATTTTGCAGTCTGATCCTAATTCTTTACCTATCTTTTCAGTTTACAGTATGCCAACATGGTTTCTTACCCATCTTTTTCGGTTCTTATATACAACAAGATATATATATATATATATATATATATATATATATATATATATATATATATATATATTTATATATATTTTACAATCTAGTCCCTGGTTTGGTTCTTACACGGGATCCATGTGTTTGTCCAGCTAGATTTATTGGTTGGCTTTCTTGTACAGTATCACCCAGAGAACTTACAACTTAGACCTCAACTTTTTTATAATCATAGTAAGGCCCTCCTAGGGGCCTCTTATTTCTTCATGGGTGTCCTTGTTATAAATCTTTCTTCACATAAACCTAGACAGTTTCTATCTAGATATCTCTATACTTGCAAACCGAGTGCATCTCAGCTTATTAGGCCCCTTGTGGTGGAACCTATCCACCTGTGTTCAAGTCCTAGACTTGATGTGAGGGCTTGCATTTTCTTGGATTTATTTCATGATTTATCAGTGTTGTTTTTTTAGGTGGTAAGCGTCGTGCCCATCAATAGAGAGGTGCTCATAAAGGCAGAGTGTGTGTGGATCTAATCTTAAGGGTGAATGCATACATACATGAGTGTCTATGTCTATGTTCTAACTCGAGAAAAAGAATTTCTCTAGGCTTTTGAATTTTTGTAGTTATAATAACTAAATGTTTAGTTGATAACTGTTACAATATACTAAATGATTTATCTAGGCTTTTGGATTTCTGTAGTAGGTTTACAACGGTTGCAACATACTAAATAAGTCGTGGCAAGTCACACGACAGATTGCAGGCATGCTAAACTGTTAGACCCGTTTGTTTGAGATGCAGTTTTTGGGGTTTTGGCTCAAAAAGCTGGCTTTTTTGGCTTTTGGTTTCAGGTTGTCGTTGTTTTTTCTTGCTATTGCCTTTTTAATACCTTTTGAGCTTCACAGCACAACAAAAGTTGCAAAATCTCTTCAAAACATGCTTTTCAACTTTTAGTTCATTTCCTCAGAAGCCACCTCTTCAACTTTTTGAAAGCCAACTCAACAGCTGGGCTGTATGTTTGAGATTCTGACTTTTGGCTGGCAAAAGCTAGATAAAAGCTCAAACAGACAAGGTATAAATAGATCCAGAAATATCTAAGGGAAAATAAAAATTTTAGAATCGATAATCAGACTTCTTACTTTTTTTTTTTTTTTGGTGATTGATTGATATGTTCCATGGACGCCAAACTTGAAGGTCCTAAAGGCATCCATCCTAAACAACCGTAGACTACCTGTCAATGACGAGCCTTGGTAGCATGGTTCGGTTGACAATTGCGGATTGGGTTGGGTTTTGCCCATAAACCATAGTCGAGCCCAATTGCGGGTTTTCTGATCCTGCAGTGACCACGCCGAGATGGCTCGCAGGTTCAAGCTGTTCAGGTATGCCGCGAAGTACGTGCACTCCTTGAACACTTCCGTTCCTGCGGATCCGTGGGAGGCGGCCATTTACCTTGGTAAGAGGAGGGAGGCCAAGCTGCTTCTCGTGAGAGACGAGGAGGACGTCTCGCACCTAGATGAGTGCCACATGCCCACGAGCTTGGTCCGTTCGCTGATGGCGGAGATCCGTATCTGGATGAGCGTGATATGAGCAAGTTGAAGGGAATCGAAGACATAGAGAGGAGGAGGAGGTTGAAGGAAACCGAAGACGAAGAGAGGGATGTGGACAATGTTGTCTAAGATGTTACTAAATCAAAGTAGTTTGCTTAGGGAAATCCCAGGGACCTTGAATGAGATGAACTGAACCCACTGAATCATCGCTCCACTACAACGAATTAGGATTTGTTGTTTCATGCATGTGTACTAGTGCGTTATGCTTCCATGTGTGCTAAGTTATACTTCCATTCGATGATGTGACTTTGTTGTGCAAATCGTTTTGACGTCTCAATCCAACCGGCTGATGTTTTGTCGTCTCTGTTGCTTTTAGTTATTGTAGTTGCTCAACCTTTTGTAGTCTCATGGCTGTGTGCTATATACATAGTCCAGGTTCATCTTCTTTTTAATATAACCGGCAACTCTCTTGCCCAGTTTGTTTTAAAAAAGTGTACTAATTATGCTTTTTAACACCTTTTTCTCTAAGGGGTCATGATATTCTCAATAAAATGACGAGTAACAACAGGGTGTACTCGCCTGTTTGCTTCAAGGCCTCCCAAGCAGGAAAGGCACTAGACAGAGATCTTGACCCACACGCTCAGAACCCATGCACTCAGTATCCAACACCTGGGGGAGCACGCTGAGCTAGTCAGGTTTGCTAGGCTTCAAAGCAATCAGACGCCTTATTCAGTCCAACGGTACTAGTTACTAGTACTTCATAAAAATGTCGAAGCTCACTATTTATCACTTTGCCAAAATGCCCAAGCTCACTATTTACCACCCAGTCTACCACATTGACATTTCAGATGGGAGTCCAAGCAAAAAAAAAAAAAAACACTGATTAAAAACAACTTCTATACCAGGCAAAAGCAGTCACTGAAAGCCTGGAACAGATAGCTACAAAAGGGCCCGGCTGGTTACGTTTAGACTGATTTTAGATGATTTTGAATGATTAAATAGTATTTATGTGATAGAGAATAAGTTGTCACCCCCTCATTTTACCTACTACTACTATTTCCAGCTCCCGTTTGCACGCACGAGCGACCAACCCGCACCTCCGAAAACCTCCCAAACACGTCGAATTCGCCACGCGTCGATTCCCCACTGGCCGGCCCACCGAAGCTAGCCTCCCATTGGCCCGACGCCATGGCCCACACCCGCCACTGTGGCAGCCGCACTTACGCGCACCTCCACCGGCCCCAGCCGTCAGAGAGCCAAACCACGTGCGGTGAGCCCACCGGGTGGGTGAGCGGAAACCCTAAACCCACCCGCTCGCGCTCCGCAGCGACCGATACATACAACACGACCCGGGGGCCGCCGGGGCTGAGATCGGATCGGAAGCTTCGACAAGTTTCCACCGGGATGGCGATCCGCAGGGGGACTTCGTACGCCGTCGCGGCACTTTTCGCGCTCGCCTCTGTCGCCGCCGCCGTCGCCGGCGAGGTCTTCTTCCAGGAGAAGTTCGAAGGTGATTATTAATTCCCTCGATCCTTTGTTGTTCAGAAAATATTAATTCCCTCGATCCCACCCCTTGAACAGTGCGATATACAGTAGTTTGCTGCGATGCGCCCCATGTCTTGGCAGGAACCAATGCAGTGCGTCGTGTGAAATGGTAGGCGTTAATTTGGTCGGACCTGTGGGGGTTTGGCTCGTTCACCATGCGAGATTTAGCCGGTGTGTAGGTGTGTCAGTGTGTGTGTGATGGTACTGGTAGTAGTAGGGGTTTGCTCGCAGGATCCAGTAGTGGCTATTTATGGTGTTCATCAGTACTTCAGTCATCTCTGCATGCTTCATCACGCAGCCTGGGGCTTGGATCCTGCGGCTGTCAATTGTCGTGTGGTAGTTTGAGTCATAGCAGTGTCGCCCTTTGGTCAGTATCCAAATTCAGCTGTATAATAATGCGCCGAATCTTATGGCATGTCTTCTGAAGTGGATCAAATTTTATACTATTTTCGTATCCCTGACCTGAACATAATTTGATTTGGGACTCATGTGGTGATGTTTGTTTATTTAGGAGATACAAAGGCCAATCTGTGCCTTATTATTTGTGTTCATGTTAATTCCTAGTTGATTAGGAACATGTCGTGCAGTAGTTCTCCAGATTCAGTTTGGACCAGCAGGTGATCCACATTAGGAATTATAGGATCTCCAGTACTGACTGTCAATTTTGTATACCGCGAAGCATTTTCTAATTTTGATGTGACATTTTGCACTGTTGTGATGGCCAGATGGCTGGGAAAGTCGGTGGGTCAAGTCCGAGTGGAAGAAGGATGAGAACATGGCTGGTGAATGGAACCACACCTCTGGGAAGTGGAATGGAGATGCCGAGGACAAAGGTAAATTCCAAAACCTCGGAAGAAGATTGGTGATTTCAGTTTATTAGATACTGAACTGAACATGTTTCTTGTTGCAGGAATTCAAACCTCTGAGGACCACAGGTTCTATGCCATTTCAGCTGAGTACCCTGAGTTCAGCAGCAAGGATAAGACCCTGGTGCTGCAGTTCTCTGTGAAGCACGAGCAGAAGCTTGACTGCGGTGGTGGTTATGTCAAGTTGCTGGGTGGTGATGTAGACCAGAAAAAATTCGGTGGGGACACACCTTACAGGTAGCCTTTGAATATATATTCTTGTACTCTTTCTCCCTATCATATCTGATCTTGTAGTTGTAGTTAACTTTGTTCTTCTGTACTGCAGCATTATGTTTGGACCAGATATCTGTGGGTACAGCACCAAGAAGGTTCACACTATCCTGACCAAGGATGGCAAGAACCACTTGATCAAGAAGGATGTGCCTTGTGAGACTGATCAATTGACTCATGTTTACACTTTGATCATCCGTCCTGATGCAACATACAGCATTCTCATTGATAATGAAGAGAAGCAAACTGGCAGCATCTACGAACACTGGGATATTCTCCCCCCAAAGCAAATCAAGGACCCAGAGGCTAAGAAGGTAAATACTTAATATTTATTACTGTGTCTGAATTTCTTTGCTTATGCCTGTTCAGAAATAATTGAGGTTTATGGGTTGATGATTGCAGCCTGAGGACTGGGATGACAAGGAGTACATTCCTGACCCTGAGGACAAGAAGCCAGAGGTAGTGTTTTTTACCCATATGCCTAATTTTTGTCATTAATGAAACATCTTACCTGACCAGAATTTAAGAGCTTCTATTGTATAATATCGAATGAGATATTTGCTATCCCTGATGTCACTGCTGGTTTACTTTATTTTGTTGAACAATACATCTCATTGCCTTTTTCCATTACTTTCAGGGCTATGATGATATTCCCAAGGAAATTCCTGACCCTGATGCTAAGAAGGTACTTATATGTGGTTATTATGTAGTTTGTGTCAATAGGATGTATTCTAAAATGTGCATTGCAGCCTGAGGACTGGGATGATGAGGAAGATGGTGAATGGACTGCCCCTACCATTCCCAACCCAGAATACAAGGGACCATGGAAGCAAAAGGTATGACGGTTCCTTTAACAGCACACAAGCTGACAGCAATTTATATTCTTATATCTGACAGCATGTTGCTTCATTTGCCAGAAAATCAAGAACCCGAACTACCAGGGTAAATGGAAGGCACCTATGATTGACAATCCAGGTATGTTCCCCTGAATTTGAACCTTGTATCCGCTTACTGTTTGGCTATTGGGTTATTAGCATTGAATCTAATTGTTGTGCTTCACAGATTTCAAGGATGATCCATACATTTATGCATTTGACAGCCTGAAGTACATTGGCATTGAGCTGTGGCAGGTTGGTGCTGGATAGTCGGATCTTCCTTCTCTTGTTCAGAAAGACATCACAGTTAGTTATGCCTATTGTTTTTCTATGTACAGGTTAAATCGGGCACTTTGTTTGACAACATCATCATCACTGATGACCCTGCATTGGCCAAGACTTTCGCAGAGGAGACCTGGGGCAAGCATAAGGAGGTATGTTTTTCCTTGCCGTAACATCTCGCGGTAACATATGGTTGATTCATGGATGCACTAACTATGATGGTTGATGGGTCTTAACAGGCAGAGAAGGCTGCTTTCGATGAGGCTGAGAAAAACAAGGAAGAAGAGGTATATTTCAACAACATATACTGTTTTTGTGGCAGGTGTATGCATGAGTGTCTTGTCATGATCTATTGGGTTTTGTTGTATGTTGTGTCATTGTCATGCATCCTGGTCCATGTTCACATAGGGGTTTGTTTCCTTAGGTTGAACTGACTGAACCTGAGCGCATCTGAGTTTTAACAGATAAAACTACTGTGGGCAGCGCATCACTATCATTAACCCTAAATTAAACTATAGTAAATTATAGTACTATATATGAGTTTAACTGTTTAGTTTTTTCATGTCAACAGCAGATTGCTAATGCTGGGTGTCTGAACTCTCTTCTTTCTGAATCACAACATTTGTGCTTTTCTGTTGGAGGTTTGTGTCACTGATTATGAATCTCTTGTTAACAGGAAGCCGCCAAGGGTGGTGATGATGAGGATGATGACCTAGAGGTCAGCATTGCATCTATCTTATTCTTCCTGGATCATTTTGTTTCCTATGCAGTTTATAAATGATCTAAATTGTGCATCTATCTCAGGATGAGGAAGACGATGAGAAGGCAGACGAGGACAAGGCTGGCTCTGATGTCGAGGATAGCAAGGACTCTGATGATGAGAAGCACGTAAGTTACTTGTCCGTGCAAAGTTCTCTCATCCCTGACCAAGCATTTTGTCATGTTCTTGTCCGTTTCCTCACACACTGACAAATGCCATTTGCAGGACGAGCTCTAGATGGTGAGGATGATGAGGTGGCCACCGACCTTGGAGCCGCTGGGCCTGATTTTATCATCGACAAGTTACTTTGTAGAACTTTGCTAAGTAGCCGAGGGACTGTTTTGGTTGCTATAGCGCTTTGTAGTCATTCTTCCCCATTAAAACTGATTGCAATGAACAAGGAAGATCTTTTGCGCACAACTGTTATCTTCCATTCTGATGTTAAATGTGAGCCTGTGAAAGCACATGGTTTCGTGACGCACGCGGACTGCAGTGCTTGCACGTGCAGCGTGTTCGCTGTTCAGGATCGTTGTGCCGTTTTCGTTTGGGGAAATATTCGTGCCTGATTACTGTTCTAGCTATCGCTATGGCCTCGTATCGGTAGCTCCCTGTCTAGTGTCGGGAAAATCTGGTCTCCTATCCATTTCCTGCCAATGCCAATGCTTTTGCCTGGTATAAGATTTGTTTGAAGAGAATCAGAGTTTTTTTTTATTGGACCTCGCCCATATGAAATGTTAATAATATGTAAATGTGCAAATAGATTCCCTGACCATGCGTCATCGAGCTTCTTTGATCACGAGAATACGTTGGCGTGATGATCAGTGGAGCAGCATCGGCTGTATCTGGTATATCTGATCTTCTGTGCTTGTCGACGCCACTGCAAGATGCTGCTGGCAGCATCGGCAGGACGGATAAAGTGGCGCAGCAGTCCCTGAAGCTATTTCGTTTGCTGCAACCAAAAAACTTCATTTCAAAAATACCTAAGCCCTTGTTTAGTCGGAGAAATTTGGATTTTGGGGCTACTGTAGCACGTTCGTTTTTATTTGACAAATAGTGTTCAAACATGGACTAATTAGGCTCAAAACGTTCGTCTCGTAATTTCCCACCAAACTGTGCAATTAGTTTTTCTTTTCGTCTACATTTAATGCTCCATGCACGGGCCGTAAACATTCGATGTGACAGGTACTGTAGCAACTTTTTGGAAGTTGAGGTGAAACTAAACAAGGGCTAAATCTTTTTTTTTAAAGACTGACAGGAGCTCTGTCTTTCAATTAACAGGCAAACAGACAAATAAATTTAACTTTTTGGTGCTTGAAAGTACATAGTAAATAGATAGCACAAGAATACCAATCAACAAAATTGCAGCAGAGGAACTTATTGTACAAAATAAAATGCTACACGGTCTTGTAATGCAATTTTGCTTTATAATAATTAAATAAGCCTGGAAATTTGTTTGCGAGGAGAAACCAAGTTATATGGTAGATAAGTTCAAGGCCAACACCCGTATATTACAAGGATAATCCAGCCCAGAACTTGATGTGTTAAACAAATTTATTCCATTTCTGAGTAATAATCAGTACACACATGCCCCAACAAAGAGGCTTCGGAACAAGAGTACATGATACTGATTTCCATAAAATTACAATTACCAAGCTGCAGGGAACAGGGGGAAAAAAAGATCAAGTAGATATGCTCAAGGTTACCTACATAGAAACCAACTTATCGAAAGGAAAGGATTTACCAGCCGGCTAGCACTTGACTTCTGCAGCGGCTGTGGCTGTGGCTGTGGCTGTGCTGCAGCGGCTGGATAATTACTGCCATAGCATATTTGTCCGGGCCCTGGAGTGCTTCTTAGTTGCTCGCATACCTCTGGTGACACAGAGTTCGAATACCCTTCGACGAGTGAACAGTTCCATGGATCTGTAGATCTGACACTGAGAGACACATTTGATAAGCAAATATTGCTGAAGTTATCCCCTGGGATGCCCTGCAACATTCCTGCAACGCCAATGTTGACACCCACAACATCCTTGATAGTTATGTTGCTTATGGTCGGAAGCGCACTCTTGTTGTAGCTATCATCGGGGTGTTCACCATAGTTTCCAGTGATCCTGATGGCTATGGAAACGTTGTCAAAGCTCACATCAGCTACATACACGTTCTTCACGTATCCTCCGCGCCCTGGGGCTGTCTTGATTCTGATTCCATGCACCGAGTTGACGATCCGGATGCCCTCTGCTCGAACGTCTGATATACCACCTGACATCTCGCTTCCAAAGGCGAGTCCAGCGCTGTTCCTTGTCTGTCCTGTGATGTTGCGGATGCTAATGTTGGAGCTAGGATGAGCAAAAGAGATGCCATACTCATCCCACCCACTCTTGATGACAACAATGTCATCGCCATTTCTGATGTAACAATCTTCAATGCAGACATTTGTAGATGAGTCTGGATGGGTTTCAAGTTTCATTAGTACCAAACATGGTGACAGAAAAAAGAAAACACGCAGTTCAGGACTTAACAACATTGACAAAATGAGTCTGACAAGAAATACTGGTGTCATACATCAAGAAATAACATTTGAAAGTTTTTTAAATTTATGCAATAGCTGTGGTCTTTCACTTAATTAGGACTCATATATCAGAACGAAAGAATCAAAGCTACACTTAAGCCCATATCTGATGACTATCTCGAGTACTGAACATACAAATGCATCATGTACTATGTATTTCGAATAGCTACTTAAATTTTGTCCTAGTTCAGATTTAGTTTGTTCCTTTCAAGCCAGAACAAAGTCTTGCAATTTTTAATGACGTTGATCTATTTTTTTAGAAATTGAAGGGCCAACTGCTAAATTGAGCAAACAGGGCATAAACTAAAGCAACTATTCATTTAAAGAAAGAATTCAGTGAGCCATAGCAGCCCAATAAAGCACACCTGGATCAATGCCGTCGGTATTTGGTGAACTGATAGGTGCTAGGATCGTGAGATGCTGGACCAGGACTTGGCTGTTCATTCAGGAAAAACACTCTAAATGATAAAATTATCATTGCGATTGAAACAGTGCTTCAGTAGTAAATGACAAGAGGAGTGCTGAAAAGGAACCTGCAGTATACAGGATGGACATTCCAAAATGGCGAATTTACAAAGGTTAGGTTGGAAATAACAACTCTGGTAGAGTACATCAGTTCAACAAGCGGTGGTCTAGTATAATTTAATGTGTGATTGTGAAACCAGTCCCACCAAACTGCACCTTGGCCATCGATGGTGCCATTGGCACCTGAAAAGAGCATGATCACCAGAAGATTAAAAGGCTAGCCATATGAAGTGCATGATGCAACTATAACACTTACCAGTTATTATCACATCAGTAAGATTGGATCCAAATATTAAACTTTGATGTCTTTTACCGGGGAGTTCTCTACCACGCCCATAGGATGGAAGAGCATCAATAACTGGCCAGTCAGAGGAGTCCTGCAAATATCCTCATAAGGACACCATGACGAAATGGCTGCACTGTTGTTTCAGTAGAAACATACTCATCAAAATATGAGATGTACTTACAGTAAACATATGATTACTGTTATTATTATTTATTGTTAAGATGTACAGGCGATTCTACATTCTTTTAGTTTTGATAGGTGAGAACTGTACAAAAAAAATGTCGAATGTTTGAAGTTATAGTGATGAGGCAAAACAGAAGTGACTCTACTTAAAGTAGGTAAATTATTGCCTACAAACCATTTGTGAAATCATCTTACTGGTGATCCAAGAATTACTGCGTCCTTGTCCAGTGAGAGTGTGAGATGGTTGATTAGACCAAAACTCCCAGTCAACCACCTTCCAGCAGGCACAAACAGCTGCGCCCGCCACACAAAAGGGCTGCGCCCCCGCCCTTTTCGCAAATGAATTGAGGTAGATATAAAATTCTTGTCAGAGCGCATTCTGAAATATGCTTTCGTGTTAAGAGTATAAATCCTGGCTCCGCCACTGGCCATCTCCGACAGCGCCAAAATCGGTTATTGAGGCACTGTGGGGCCTTTCCACACTTGCTGTCAAGTCCTCGCAGTACATGCCCCATACACTAGCCCATTGGGTCTGAACAGCAATGGTTGCGAAAAACAAAAGGACTTGAAAAATCTGTGCAAAATTCGAAGAGTCTGAGTTAATAGCCTTAAAACTGAAGTTTCTTCCATTCGTAATGATCTGCGTGAATATGCTGGATCTGCATTATGCCGTTTCCATGGAAAACAGAGCAAAAACCAAACAATCCATGAACAGATGCATGTTTTCAGCTTTGAGGGCAGGCTTGTTTAGTTTCCAAGTTCATAGTTACATTACATAGGAAAAGGTGAAAAAGAAGGATGGCAGCTATGTTAGCTCATGCCAGGCTAAGCTGTAGCACGTTGGGTTTTTTTTTTCCATGTTCGCAGTTCGTGCATGAAGCACATAGCAATAGCAAGCCTGCCCTCCCTAGGTTGAAGTTTCAAGGAACTAGCAAATCCTGCTTAGGGTTACTAGATCATTTGGTTCCTTCCCCACACAAATCTTAAGACTACATCCGAACACTCCTAGAGCCCAATTAAACCCCCCAGGCCCCCATTCAGGAAAGGAGCTGACGGCAGAGCAATTCTCTCGCAAAGCAAGGAAATACCAAAAACTGAAACGAAATCCCAATCGAGATACCCAACAGGAAATTGTTTCCCCCTTACAGTCGCGGATCTACTCATCTTCCTGCTTGAGTTGAGCATTCACTCCTTCCCTCTCCAACGATTACTGAATTCCCATCAAAACAACCGCACCGCCAGCGGGAGACAGAGACCCTGCAGGAGCCGCAGCAGGTTACTAACGCCACAAGACCAACGAAGAGCGTGCCAGTGGCACGGCGAATCGAGAGCAGAGGAACTGGCGAGCTTCGCTCACCGGAGGGGGGAGAGCAAGAGGTGAGGTGACCCTTCTCGGATGGCGAAACCCCTCTCGGCGCCGCCGAGGGGACCAGAACGAAATGGATAGACGAATGTCAGCGTGTGGTCAAAGCATAAAGCTGCGGGACTAGGCCACCTAGACTATCCTATATTTTGCCAAAAAAAAACGCAATCCAGACTACCTATTTTTATTATTTTTATTGACCCAACAAATTATTTATCTCACTATCTACGTGGGGCTCAACAAATCTGCATACCTATTTTTTCTCTCCGACCCGCCTCTCTCTCCCCCCTTTCGCACGCACGCACACGCACACGCACCTCGCCCGCACTACTCGTCGGAGCTGCCCTACTCGTCGGCGCGGCGGTCCTGCTCCCGGCGCGGTGCCGTGCTCACCAGCGCGGTGGCCCTGCTCCCGGCGCGATGGCCCTGCTCGCCGACGCGATCATACTCCCGGCGCGGCGCCGTGCTCGCCGGCGCGGCGGCCTGCTTTCCAGCATGGCAAGCGGCCCCCGACACGGCGGCTTGCGCAACTTGCTGCCCCCGACGCGATGCGCTGCCAAGCCTCAGGCGGTCGTCGTAAGAGAAGAAAATAGAAGAGAGGATGGCAGGCGGGACCCAGATGTCATTCTCTGCTGGGATTATTTTGGGTAGCTAATTTTAGGTAGTACTGCTTTGGAGTTGGGAACAAAATTTGGATAGTATAGAAAAATATTGCTACATAAACTGATTAATAGGTAGTTTGTTTTAGGTAGTACCGTTGAATATGCTCTTAGGACGGATTGCAAGCCATTTTTAAATATCTTTTTCGAAGCACAGCCAACCATTCTGGCTGATAGTTTTTGTGGCTGATAAGTCGGCTATGGCTGTTTTTTTTATGAGAGAAAAATACTATGCCATAGTAGTAAGTTGGGCTGATAAATTCATGCGAACAGGGCTAAAAATATATATATGCGTTACGTCACAGATAAATGATTGCATATAATGAATTTACACATAGCATTAGCTCTAATCATACTTATAATATATATAAAGTTGAAGTTAAGGTAGCATATGGTCCCACAACAAATGAGGTGTTGCATTCCACGACAAATCATATTTATTGTGGAATGCTCTGAACTTGTTAATTGGATTAGGCGGTACTGTATTAGTGAGTATCGAGGCTGGTATTGATAGAGATTAGGGCCTTGTTTAGATTTCAAGTTTTTTCACTCTCTTTTGTCACATCAAATTTTTGGACACATACACGGAGTATTAAATGTAGATAAAAAAATAATTAATTACACAGTTTGATTGTAAATTACGAGACGAATCTTTTGAGCCTAGTTAGGCCATGATTGAACAATAATTGTCAAATACAAACGAAAGTGCTACAGTGTCAAATACTGATTCCCAACCATCATCTAAACAAGGCCTAGAAACGCTTTGTCCTACCTAAACATTGATATGAGATACCCAGAGACTAGCGCCGGAACGTTCCGACTCTTGTGTCGGTTGCCCGTCCGTTTTTAATAATGATACCCTCGGGACGTCTATGGATGTAGCTTCGTACTTCGCGTCTGCTGCCTGCACATGGATGTAGCTTTGTGCTCCTCTTTGCCTTGTGCTCCGTGCCTGCTGCCCACCCATGGATGTAGCTTTGTGATCCGCGCCTGCTGCCACGGATGGATGGATGCTTTGCTTTCCTGCTGCCGCGCCCCGCTTCCTTCGCGCACGCGGGGACTACTGCGTCAGAGGGGACCACCTTCGTCTGCGCCCCCTTACAACACCTGCTCATAAAACACTTGTCACATAAAGCATTTGCTGCAACATAGGTTCGAAACAGATAAAACATTTACAACATACACTTGTAACATATGTGTATGGGCACTGCAACATATACACTATCTAGATAAAACACTTGCAACATACGTTTAAAACAACTGAAACATACACTTGCAACATATGTGTATAGCCAGTACAACATATGTAACATACGTTTGAAACAGCTGAAACATTTAAAATATACGCTTGCAACGTACATGTATAATCATTGCAACATATAAAACCCATATCTACTTTTACAACAGGGTGCGGGTGTGGCGCACGAGGCACGAGGAGCGAGGCGCGGGGCGCGCGAGTCGCGGGAGCAAGCGGGTCCGTTCTATCCGGTCATACACTCACTAGAGATATATGGCTCCTTTCGGCTTACCCCATATTCGGTTTGTTCAGCTTCTTTTTTCAGCCGGAATAATATTTTTCTCTCATAACAATTCAGTCAAAACAGTATTTTCAGCCAGTTTCAGCCAAAATTCTGCCAGAAAACGGAACCATACAAGCTATTTCAGCTACTACCGACAGATCAGTGTCCTTCCGAACCAACTCAGTACTAACATGCTAGCCCCTTTTTTAAAACTATCTTAAATGTGATTAAATTTATATAAAAAGGCGTCAACATTTATATTATCAAATAACTACCATTATATTTATCATGAAACCTTCTTTTACATATTTGGTGTCATAAATATCGTTAATTTTTTAAAATTTTTGCAAAACTAGATTATTGGATTTGGAACAAAAGAAGAATTGTTTTTAGATATAAACAGATGTACTGTTTCCGTCCCAAAAATAATAAAAATATTATTTCTCAAGGAGTCGAACAATTTTCAAATTTGACTAAATATAAAAAAAATATTATTTTTTATGCGTAATTGGGACCACTACATTAAATGTGGAATATGTGTTTTTTATAATAACCTTATTTGAAGATTTTCTTTTAATTTTCACAAATATTAATATTTGTATAAATCTAGTTAAATTTGAGATTATTTACGTTCTTGAAAAACGAGGTTTTTATTCTTTTTGTTAGTACGGATGGAGTATGGAGTAGTACAGTGCATCCGAGCTCTACGGTCAACAGAGACGTGCAATTTCACTGTCCGTCTTGACATTCGCAAAACATAGGTTCGTTGTTTAGACTTTTATAGTTTTATATTGCAGTTCACATCAGGATAAACAATCTATTATTACCCCTCTCTATAATCGTGTTTACTTTTGTTAGTTGTGGCAGGTGGTTAGCACTGCACCAGCACGGACGATGACTGGGACGAACGGGCCTCCGTCGCCGTACTCATGTCTCAACTCAACTGCTCGGGAAGCTTGGTCGATCGACATAGAAAAGGTTTGCACTTCTAGAACATAGAAAAGGTTCCAGCCTTTGCATTATATAAGCCTTTGCTGGAGGCGGACGTTGAAAAGAAATAAAGTATTGATATAACAAACCACGTGATGTATTTATTTAGAAAGAGGGCGTGGCTACCGCCCACTCCGCATGTCTGATCAGTCTGACCGCATGCTGCACCTGCCGCCGTCTGCCTCGCTCGTCCCGCATGTGGCTATAACTGTGCGTCTGCCCGTTCGCCCCCACAGGCTGTTGCACGTACGCATGCAATTCCGTGTCTGCTGCTGCATGTTTCGCTTCGTTCCGTGAGGGACCACCCACGCTTATGCCCCCGCATGCTGCTGCACCCTTCGCTTCGCTTCTGTGGTGCGCGCTCGTAGACGTGCATGTAGGTGGCAACCAGATCTATATTTACAACACTAGATCTATTTTTATAACATCCAGACGAAACACATGCGACATTCAGATAAAACATACATCTGAAACACATGAAACGTACTGTACCTGCTAATGAAAACACTTGAAATATGAAGCACTTGCTGCAACAGACGTTGAAAACAGGTGGAACATTTAAAACATACGGTTACAACATATGTGTATAACCACTGCAACATATGCAACATTCAGATACAACACTTGCAACATACGTTTGAAACAGATTAAACATTTAAAACATACACTTGCAACATACGTCTATAGCCATTGCAACATATGTGCAACTTATGTCTAATTGATGAAATATTTGAAACATACACTTGCAACATATGTGTATAGCCAATGCAACATATACAACATTTAGATAAAACACATGCAACACCATATAAAATATACATCTGAAACGCATGAAAACATATGGAGCTCGATGCCATGGAGTGATGGTGTTTACACCAAAATTTGGAAGAAAAATCACAG